AACACCACGTAAATTTATTACTCCAGTATTTATACAGGATAATATCGCTGTATATATCGAGAACGCTTACCTAATTTCTATACACTTCACTGAAGACTGGGAACTTATATAAATGGCTCTCTGTCAAGTGGGAATAATTTGTGGACCAGAGTATGTATCCCCAAGTATGCAGCTCATCCAGGAAATAGCGTGGCAATTTATTTCCTCGTCCTGGCATATGGCATGGTAAGTGTCTACCGTGATCATCGTATATAGCTACCTGTCAACAAATAAGAATTTTTGTTGTCACGTCAGGCAACGGTTTATTGTTGAACTGACAGCCGCAGTGAAAAATTGTACTACAAACTTTAAAGTTTATTAATTGAGGCCTATATTTATATCTCACAACTTTTGCGTAAAACTGTGGTATGCAACCGGCTTACAACAAAAGTTGTACTGTTGAGAAAATATCAAAGTTATGTTGTAACCAGTTGTTGCATGCAACGGTTTAATACGCTGACACTGTAACCGTCTATGATCATTCAAATTAATAACGGCATCCTGGCAAGTGAAAACCAAGACTTGCTTGCTTTGACTTGTGAGTCTACGTATGAAAGGCTGCGTGAATATTTTATGTAACATATGCAACATACTGATAGATCTGTATGATGAATTGTGTTACAAAATAAGTTATTCTCTGCGTGTATTAGAAATTGCAGTGCAGAAGGCAATTTAATTCGAAAAATTATTCAAATATATTGCATGTATGCAACAGTTATAGAGGATCATGACACGAAGGCCTTAAACAATTTGGCCAACAGAGCATCGATGTCTGACAGTTGCACGACTATACACAGACTGATAGATTTGTATGATTGAATTGAATAATGTTGCAAATTAGGATGTTACTATCCAGAGAACAACTGCTTTCGTAAAATTATCCGAGTATGCAAATACATATATAAGATCACTCTTATAGTCATTCTCTTCCACAGGGGCAAACAATGGCTGGAACAACGAGGATAATATCATTGTTTTTGTTTATGGAAACACCACGTAAATTTATTACTGCAGTATTTATACAGGATAATATCGCTGTATATATCGAGAACGCTTACCTAATTTCTATACACTTCACTGAAGACTGGGAACTTATATAAATGGCTCTCTGTCAAGTGGGAATAATTTGTGGACCAGAGTATGTATGCCCCAAGTATGCAGCTCATCCAGGAAATAGCGTGGCAATTTATTTCCTCGTCCTGGCATATGGCATGGTAAGTGTCTACCGTGATCATCGTATATAGCTACCTGTCAACAAATAAGAATTTTTGTTGTCACGTCAGGCAACGGTTTATTGTTGAACTGACAGCCGCAGTGAAAAATTGTACTACAAACTTTAAAGTTTATTAATTGAGGCCTATATTTATATCTCACAACTTTTGCGTAAAACTGTGGTATGCAACCGGCTTACAACAAAAGTTGTACTGTTGAGGAAATATCAAAGTTATGTTGTAACCAGTTGTTGCATGCAACGGTTTAATACGCTGACACTGTAACCGTCTATGATCATTCAAATTAATAACGGCATCCTGGCAAGTGAAAACGAAGACTTGCTTGCTTTGACTTGTGAGTCTACGTATGAAAGGCTATTTTATGTAACATATGCAACGTACTGATAGATTTGTATGATGAATTGTGTTACAAATTAAGTTATTCTCTGGGTGTATTAGAAATTGCAGTGCAGAAGGCAATTTAATTCGAAAAATTATTCAAATATATTGCATGCATGCAACAGTTATAGAGGATCGTGACACGAAGGCCTTAAACAATTTGGCCAACAAAGCATCGATGTCTGACAGTTGCACGACTATACACAGACTGATAGATTTGTATGATTGAATTGAATAATGTTGCAAATTAGGATGTTACTATCCAGAGAACAACTGCTTTCGTAAAATTATCCGAGTATGCAAATACATATATAAGATCACTCTTATAGTCATTCTCTTCCACAGGGGCAAACAATGGCTGGAACAACGAGGATAATATCATTGTTTTTGTTTATGGAAACACCACGTAAATTTATTACTCCAGTATTTATACAGGATAATATCGCTGTATATATCGAGAACGCTTACCTAATTTCTATACACTTCACTGAAGACTGGGAACTTATATAAATGGCTCTCTGTCAAGTGGGAATAATTTGTGGACCAGAGTATGTATCCCCAAGTATGCAGCTCATCCAGGAAATAGCGTGGCAATTTATTTCCTCGTCCTGGCATATGGCATGGTAAGTGTCTACCGTGATCATCGTATATAGCTACCTGTCAACAAATAAGAATTTTTGTTGTCACGTCAGGCAACGGTTTATTGTTGAACTGACAGCCGCAGTGAAAAATTGTACTACAAACTTTAAAGTTTATTAATTGAGGCCTATATTTATATCTCACAACTTTTGCGTAAAACTGTGGTATGCAACCGGCTTACAACAAAAGTTGTACTGTTGAGGAAATATCAAAGTTATGTTGTAACCAGTTGTTGCATGCAACGGTTTAATACGCTGACACTGTAACCGTCTATGATCATTCAAATTAATAACGGCATCCTGGCAAGTGAAAACCAAGACTTGCTTGCTTTGACTTGTGAGTCTACGTATGAAAGGCTATTTTATGTAACATATGCAACGTACTGATAGATTTGTATGATGAATTGTGTTACAAATTAAGTTATTCTCTGGGTGTATTAGAAATTGCAGTGGAGAAGGCAATTTAATTCGAAAAATTATTCAAATATATTGCATGCATGCAACAGTTATAGAGGATCGTGACACGAAGGCCTTAAACAATTTGGCCAACAAAGCATCGATGTCTGACAGTTGCACGACTATACACAGACTGATAGATTTGTATGATTGAATTGAATAATGTTGCAAATTAGGATGTTACTATCCAGAGAACAACTGCTTTCGTAAAATTATCCGAGTATGCAAATACATATATAAGATCACTCTTATAGTCATTCTCTTCCACAGGGGCAAACAATGGCTGGAACAACGAGTATAATATCATTGTTTTTGTTTATGGAAACACCACGTAAATTTATTACTCCAGTATTTATACAGGATAATATCGCTGTATATATCGAGAACGCTTACCTAATTTCTATACACTTCACTGAAGACTGGGAACTTATATAAATGGCTCTCTGTCAAGTGGGAATAATTTGTGGACCAGAGTATGTATGCCCCAAGTATGCAGCTCATCCAGGAAATAGCGTGGCAATTTATTTCCTCGTCCTGGCATATGGCATGGTAAGTGTCTACCGTGATCATCGTATATAGCTACCTGTCAACAAATAAGAATTTTTGTTGTCACGTCAGGCAACGGTTTATTGTTGAACTGACAGCCGCAGTGAAAAATTGTACTACAAACTTTAAAGTTTATTAATTGAGGCCTATATTTATATCTCACAACTTTTGCGTAAAACTGTGGTATGCAACCGGCTTACAACAAAAGTTGTACTGTTGAGGAAATATCAAAGTTATGTTGTAACCAGTTGTTGCATGCAACGGTTTAATACGCTGACACTGTAACCGTCTATGATCAATCAAATTAATAACGGCATCCTGGCAAGTGAAAACCAAGACTTGCTTGCTTTGACTTGTGAGTCTACGTATGAAAGGCTATTTTATGTAACATATGCAACGTACTGATAGATTTGTATGATGAATTGTGTTACAAAATAAGTTATTCTCTGTGTGTGTTAGAAATTGCAGTGCAGAAGGCAATTTAATTCGAAAAATTATTCAAATAGATTGCATGCATGCAACAGTTATAGAGGATCGTGACACGAAGGCCTTAAACAATTTGGGCAACAAAGCCTAGGTGTATACTTATACTTATATTTATGTTATAATTTGTTCTACTTCAACAGGAAACCTATATGTACCATCACGTCGGGGAAAGAACACTGAGTTAACGTACCTTGGTATATGTAATTCAATCTGGCACGGCAACTTGTGCGCACGTCAGCCTTCGTCGTGGAAAGATAGTAGCACCATTCGCTTCCTTTCAGGCTGGCGCGGCATGGTAAGTCTGTTGTGATCATTATATACCTGCATGGAGATAAGATAGCATGAGAGATAGTTCTTGAAATGTATGGACGTCTTGAAAAACTAATTGAAGTGATAAAACGTCTTCGCTTTCAAAAATGTGTCAGTCCAAAGTTTACCAATATAACGAAAAATAAATAATTAAGGAAAAGTAAACAACAAAACTGTTAACAATGAATAAATTGAAAAGCCCACGAAAGACATGAAAATAAATGAAGCTCACCTTTCGTCTTGTGGTTTCTGGTAAGCAATTTGGCAAACATCGCATACCATCCGTGCCTCAAATAACCTTGTTTAATTCATGTAATAACATAACCACTCAGCAAATGATTTCGGATTGGTACTTCCCACACTGATACAGACAGTTACAAATAACGTTCGCGCACCCCAACAATAGATCGTCCCAATTCTTGCTATGTCCGTCTCATAAAATAGAGTTTTTCCATCTATAAAAGTTTAAACTTGTCAAAGCTTGTCACAAGTTGCCACGAGCACTACCGCAACAATAAAATTAGTCGAAGGAATATTCTAATATACGGTATACAAGTGTCTTCAATTACCTTGTTTTTTTGAAATTGCGTTTTTCCATTTATAAAAGTTTATAACTGATGTTTGCCACTCTCTTTCTGCTGCATAGCTTATATCTTTGTTTGCATGACAGTAGGCATTATATCTCTGTTTGCATGACAAGTTGTGGGCACAGATTGGGTGAGAGTTATGTAGATGTTCTTTTGTAGCCAGTCTTTGGGGAGGAATTGTGGCAGGCATTTCGTACAAAGCTTGTCACAAGTTGCCACGAGGACCACCGCCACCATAAAATTAGTCGAAGGAATATTGTAATATACAATATTTAAGTGTCTGCGATTACCTTGTTTTTTGGAAATTGCGTTTTTCCATTTATAAAAGTTTATAACTGATGTTTGCCACTCTCTTTCTTGAAAAGAGCAGAAAAAACTTGAAAATCAATGAGCTTTTGTCTGATGGTTTCTCGTGAAAGCAATTTGGCAAACAACACTTCTATGTCTTTTGTTTCTCCTTTCAATGGAAGGTCTTCCATCTTCATTGGCGACTTTCTATTCAACAACTTCGCCGCTTTTTTTGATGCAACACTATGCCTCTTGGCCTTTGTTTCATTGTTCATGCGAATGTACTCTGTGTCTGTTTTTTCCATTCCGTGTACCCTGACGAGGTGCCGGTCGACACGGACGACCACATTTCTGCATCCAGGGTGCGGGCAAGGGACAGGGCGGGTCTTTTGAGTAGTCCCCAACTGGACGAGACGTTTCTGGCCGGACAGACGCTTTGCCTCCTGTGCGCCGAGTTTATGATTAACCTTTAGGTGTGATAAGAGGACCTTGAAGGAACGCCCGCAGATGGGGCAGGGTTTCAATCGTCTCTTATTCTATAAATAAATGTTTTAAATATATTACCACCTTATATGTGGCTATCGTGTTATCCTTCTAACTCCTGTTCTGTTTACCATGGCATACCCATGAGCACGATCTAAGAACGACATATAATATTATTATACCGGATAACATTATAGGAAACAAACCTTGAGAGGTTTGGGGAACATAGGTTCTGAATGATCATCGTCATTCCTTTCATCATCTTGCATATCTGTCTCTCTTTCCTGCTGTTCCTCTTCTTTTTCTCCTTCCTTGATAACACATGAAAATATTAACAATTAGAAAATGTAAATGTTTAGAAGTTACTTTGCATATTACTTAATAACTGACTCACCGGGGAGAGTTCGAAATTCGCCTTTTGTTCATCATTCGAATTTTTCCATTTATAAAAGTTTCTAATCTTTTTCACAGTCACGATGTTTTCAGTGGAATGCACAGGTTGTCCGCACATATGCACGAGGTGAGGTGAAACTCGTATAGATGTGTCCTTTTGTATCCAGTCCTTTCGCAGCAGTTAAGGCAGGCATATTTGGTACAAAGCTTGTCCCAAAGTGTCGAGGTGTACCGACCGCCAGGAGAGTTGAAGGAATATTGTAATATACGGTATACGATCGAGTGTCTTAAAATTACGTTCGCCTTTTGTTCATCATTCGAATTTTTCCATTTATAAAAGTTTCTAATCTTTTTCACAGTCACGATGTTTTCAGTGGAATGCACAGGTTGTCCGCACATATGCACGAGGTGAGTCAAACTCGTGTAGATGTGTCCTTTTGTATCCAGTCCTTTCGCAGCAGTTAAGGCAGGCATATTTGGTACAAAGCTTGTCGCAATGTGTCGAGGTGTACCGAGCGCCAGGAGAGTTGAAGGAATATTGTAATATACGGTATACGATCGAGTGTCTTAAAATTACGTTCGCCTTTTGTTCATCATTCGAATTTTTCCATTTATAAAAGTTTCTAATCTTTTTCACAGTCACGATGTTTTCAGTGGAATGCACAGGTTGTCCGCACATATGCACGAGGTGAGGTCAAATTCGTATAGATGTGTCCTTTTGTATCCAGTCCTTTCGCAGCAGTTAAGGCAGGCATATTTGGTACAAAGCTTGTCGCAATGTGTCGAGGTGTACCGAGCGCCAGGAGAGTTGAAGGAATATTGTAATATACGGTATACGACCGAGTGTCTTAAAATTACGTTCGCCTTTTGTTCATCATTCGAATTTTTCCATTTATAAAAGTTTCTAATCTTTTTCACAGTCACGATGTTTTCAGTGGAATGCACAGGTTGTCCGCACATATGCACGAGGTGAGGTCAAACTCGT